TACCTGGGTTGATTGAAGAGTTCGACTAGGAAATTATCTTCCCTAAGAGGGACCCCCAGAAATACACTCACAACACACACACACACACCACAATGCTCCTTCTTGTAAGATGAAGGGCAATCATCCCTTGGATTCAACATGCCTATGCATCTGGATACCAGTTCCTCAGTGATCTAGCTATCTGATGAGTAAGGACTTGGGTACCGGCTCCTATTAATGACCTCTCCTGAGGTGGTAGAGGTCCCTAGAGGAGTGCATATGTGTGCTCTCCAAGTAGACTTTTCAGAGTTTGTTTGAATAAATAGGAGGTAAATGGCTCCCTGGGAAGGTCAGTTCATTGTTGATCTTGGGCTGTGTTTATGTAAATTAACCCTTTATTTGGGATGCCCTAACTTTTTTTCCTTGTGAAAAATCCTACACCTTCTTACCCATCTCTGTATCGCTGCTTCTCTCCTGAAGGCTGCTCTATTTGGGTGTGCTGGACTGGGCAGGTCGTGGGAAAGATCTCTAGGCAGCTGGCTTGTCTGAAAGCCAGGCCTAGCCAGTGTAGGGAGGGCGGGCAAGAGAGGAGGCCTTTCTACCCTCCCTCTGTAGGAAAATAAAAGAGATAAATGAACCCTAATCCTGACCCAGGGGCGAATCCCAATAAAGATCCAGGTTAATTCTTCCTGTTGATCCAACCCTCGAATTCATTGTGAGAATTAGAGAGTTCTGAACACTAATTTGCCAGATCAGATCGTATAATTATCTTTTATAGACCCGAGTGTGATGTATGCTGGGTGTTTGTGCTCCAGGGGCTGAGTACCTGTCTATGTTTGGACTTTAGAAGTCCCTCCTGCCAGGCTTGAGCATCCCACATACAGGTGGGGGTGGGAGCTACTGTGATCTCTGTCTGTGATCAGACAGACCCAACAGTGTTCAAAGCCCTCCCCCAGGGGGGAGACTTTCCCATGATAAAACAAGGGGGGGGGTGTTAAGTGGAACTACAGGGGAAAAGGTGAACCCCATTCAAGGTTATGGTAGGGGCCAGGTATCTGGCTGGAGTGGGCATTTCCAGAAAGATCTCTCTATGAAGCAACAATGGGGCCTTCAACAAGGGTTCTCAGCAAAGCCCACCCAGTTTGGAGACTGCAATGCACACATCATTTCCGGATCACAATTGTGATGGTCATGCTCTTATGATTTCATTGTTCCCTTCCACCATAAAAACATTAAAATTAAAGTTTTATGGCTGCGATGGTATAAGGATGATTAGTACCCAGGCCGGATCCGTTACCTAAACATTACTGTGACTGTCATTACTATGGACATCACTGGCTCTGGTTTTGAAAGACATGAGAACATCTCTGTGAGCCCGTAAATGTAATTGTAGCACGGTGGATGTGGTGGCCTTGGGGACGGTTCTGGAAATGGGACCCAGGACGGTGGCCTCCAGAGAGCTTCTTGGCCTATTTTGCAGAAGTCACTCCCATGGAATATTTATGTATTGTAGTAAAAAGTCACACGCATGGAATATGTGGTTCAAGCATATGAAGGGATCACGAAGGAGCTGATTTGGGTTCAAAGGCGTGGTGAGATCTGGTCAGGTGTGTGCTGCTAGTTGGCCTGCTTCGGAAGGTGCCCCATTCAGCCCCTGCCCATTGTCCTCCACAGTAGAGGGCAGAAAGGGCCATACTGGCATAGCGGGAGGTGTGCGCAAAGCTCAGCCGAGCTCCTAGGAGACATTCCAGCCAGTGTGCCAGGAACAGACTTAGTATCCCTGGGTAGTGGGGCTCTCTCTCTGGGAGGTTCAGGTGGCCACGCCTCTTCAGAGAACAGAGTGAAACAAATGACCGGTGGAATGCAGAAATCTCTGGAGATGCACAGCTGCCCAGACATGGTCTCTCGGGCTGTGAGCCCAAGCTTCCCGCATGCCTCGTATTCCACGGTCCCCAGAAGGGGAGCTGCGACTGAGAGAGGTTGTGGGTGGCTTGCCTGAGTTCCTGGGGGTGTGGGAGGATGGAAGAGGGGTGTCTTTGAGCTCAAGCTACTTACTCATTGTGTATTCAGGATTCCCAGCCTTGGGTTTCCCTGGGAACACATTAAAAATGCAGATTCTAGGCTGTGATGTTGTCCAGTGGGTAAAGGATTTGTCACACAAACACTAGGACTTGAATTTAAATTCCCAGAACCCATATAAAAGCCAGGTGCAGTAGTATAGGCCTCTGCATTCCCAGAACTCTAGTGAGTGGAGAATTCTCGAAAGCTCGTGTCTCGGCTAGCCTGGTGTCCATAGCAGGTGAGCAGTGAGGGACCCTGTCTCAAACATGGTGGAAGGCCAGGAGCCATGCTTGAAGTTGTACTCCAACCTCTGTAAGCATGGCTTGGCATGCACATCATGGCACATGCGCACCAGCTCTCACAAGCACATACATCACACACATAACACACACACAAAGATAAAAATGTAAATGTAGGTTTCTCAGGTTTCCTTCTCTACACCATGAATTCATTTTGAGCAACAGCCTCAGAATTCCTCAGGGCATCTGAGGAGGTTTCCTCCAAGTGCCCAGGTCTCACTGGAGAGCAGTCAGGATCACTGGCATGGGATTAGGTCTTAGCATGATTCTACAGAAATCTAGAAAAAGGGGGATGGTTCCAGAACCCCTCATTCCCCTCTTCACGACACTCCCTAACTCTCTAAGTTCAATAAGACCCCAGCCCAGGCTTCTGACCCACTGCCCTCTCTATTAAATTAGCTGAAGTGAGACTTCATGGGGTAGTGTGAGGACTTAAGATAGCCTCATTTTAAAATCAATTCAAAGCCAGGCGGTTGTGGTGCACACCTTTAATCCCAGCACTTTGGAGGCAGAGGCAGGCAAATCTCTGAGTTCGAGGCCAGCCTACTCTACAAGATCTAGTTCCAGGCCCGGCACCAAAACTACACAGAGAAACTGTCTCAAAAACAAAACAAAAACAAACAAACAAAAAAACCAACCAAACAAAATAAATTCAACTCCCTCCCAGAAGGAGGGGCGAAGCCAAAAGTGTCTCCATTCATCCGGGGTCTATCTTGAATGAGTTTATAGGGTGTGTTCTACCCAGTAATAAACTGAGGATAGATGGATGAGTGGCCACTTTGTAGAAAACTGGAATGGGAATCTGTTCGAGATGCAGGGATGGAGGTGGAAAGTAGCCGGCCGTTTTGTCTGCCCTCTGGGATTGAGTTTTCTACTTCTCTCAGTGGGCCAGTGAGGTTCCAGGTATAACACAGTTCTTCTGGGCGCAAGTGGTCAATTTCGTTTGCCCGCAGTCAGGAACCAATGCAGGAGGCTAGGATGATAGCTCAGGCGTAAGCCTGAGGATCTAAGTTCAATCCCTAGCACCACCACCTATGTACAAAGCATTTATAAACCCAGTGCCAGGGAAGGTAGAGTCAGGACTGTCCAGCAAGCTTGCTCTAGATACCAGGTCCCAAGACCCAGATCCCAGTGAGAGACCCCTCTGCCCCCATGTCCACACATGCATACACACGTGCATCCCCAGGAACTCAAAAACGCAGAGACTATTGCATTTGAGGCGTCCTTGTATAAGTTCATGGGCATGATAGTGGGATGCAGGCCCTGTAAACATGTCACTGGAGAGGCCCTATGGTGTACGAGGTCCCCTTCCCCCATCTGACCTAATGGCTGGTGGGGTTACCTGCAGAGGGCCAGCCGGAGTGCTGGTATGTGAATGTGCGCTCAGCCACCCAAACAATCCTTTCTCTTGTGTGTGAAGGTTACCCGTTTTCCGTTTCAAGTCTGATTGTATTCTTTTCCCCTCTTGTCTGTCTTCTCTGTGTTTTCATTTGCCAACCTAAGGGTCTCAAGTGAGTTCTTCGAGCCTAATGGTGGGGAGGCTTAGAAAGGGGCTATTATCTTTAAACACCGTTTGAAATTCTACTCTTCCTGGCGTCTGAATGAGATTGAACAGAGGCCGGATTTAAAGATTAAGTATCTGTTTTAACAGCAACAACAACAGCAACTCGGCTGATACCTGCCCATTTGTTCAGGAATTACCTGCACTAGCTCACACCCCAGAAACCCACAAGGTGCAGAAGGCATAGCAGTTAGAGGTTATGGACTGGTGTTTACGGGAGTGTGGTGGAGGTCAGGTGTGGAGCCTGGCGGTACAAACGTACTGCCCCGTTGAATGAGTTCAGACGTACAGTCGGTTCAGCATGCGGAAATAATGGGATAGGAGGCTGTGTGGAAGGAGCAAGCGAGGACTAGGAAACCAGCCCCTTTGGTAAACCGCTTGCCTTGGAAACCATGGGAACCTGAGTTCAATTCCCCAAATCTGCATAAAGAAAAAAAAAAGCTGGGAGTTGAGAGTAGCGGGGAGGGTGACGGCATACAGCGTGAGTGTGCACACACATAGAAACACATAAATGTGCACCTGCATATGGCGTGAATCTGCACACGTGTGAATGAATACACATGGTTACACACATGAGCACACACATGAGAGGCCCCACTCCAAACAGAACAGCTCAGCATTCCAACCATCCAATATTTTGCTATCAATGTCTATTGTTAATAACTTGAAAAAAATATCAGTGTCCATTGTAATGTCTGTTTATGTTGAGTTGATCCTAGGTTTAGTTTATTATTTTTTTAAGGGACGTACTTCTTTGAAAGTAGCTTGGAGTTTGTCGTGACCCCCAGTTGCGTAGATTTCTTCTGAGATGTGGTTTCGCTGCATATTGAAGGATGCTCAGCAGCTGTCAGTTAGATGAGGTGGCTTGCGCTTATAAGGTCAGCGCTTTGGAAGCTGAGGCAATGGTACATGAGTTCCAAGGCCAGTCTGGGCTGCATAGTGAAAACCTGTCTCTTGAATGAATAGAAACGGCAACCCTTAGTCCTCTATGTCCCTCAAAGGCCTGACATTCAGGGTCTACCCCCAGCAATGACGAGTCTGATGATGGTGTGTCCAGTGTTGTCCTGCTTACAGATCTAACCGTCCCCTTCTTGTTTTAGGTAAGACCAGAGGTTTCTGCCAGCGATGGAGCAAGGACAAGAGAAAGGTGAGCTGTGAGCGGCTGTCTCCATAGAGCTGTGTCCTTTCTGTTCGTGCGCTTTGAAGGTGGGAGTTGTGTTCCCTTCTATGCTCCCGGATGTAGACACGTCCTTAACACTCTGGGTGCCCAGCCAGAGCGCAGGCAGCAGGGGTCTTGCCGTTTGCTGTGGAAATGGGATTAGACAGTTGTAAATAAATATATCGTGCAGTTAATCCAGGCGAGGCTGTGCTGCGGGCTCTCCTGGTTGTCACTTAGGTTCGTGTAATTGCTCACACCTCCTGGAGCTCTAGCAGATAGGTTACAGTATGCCCAAAGGCCAGACAAGGAAATTGAGGTATAGTCACATGCTTGAGATGGTGTAGGTAATTTGGGAGAAAGTCAAGACTCAAAAGTCAGGTCCGTCTATATCATTTGCTTTTCTATACTGCCCTTTTGCAGTATAAAACAGCCCCTTTGCCCTTCCCCAACAAGTTCTTGCTGCCTGTCAGAGTTCAGAGCAGGGACCGTCTTACTGCACCCTGGGAGAAGCACCAGGCAGGTGATTCCAAGCCCGCACACCCAGGAGACAGGCGGCAGGTGGACCACACCTGTTGCCTTTCAGGAGCGCAGAGACTACCCACAGGATTAAACGGGATCTCGGAGCTTTCTGGAAATCTGCCGACCCAAGTCTGGTCCTAATAATGCTGGATGTAGAACACATGGCCTCTCTCTTTATCCAAGAGCTGGCTTTGCCTGTAGCTGTCTAGGTTCCTCCATTCAACGAGCTTACAGCAATTCTGGCCGTAAATCTCAGTGGTGGGTCCTGAGTGGGAAGCTCAGAATACGGGCAGCTTTGACAAGAGACACTAGATCACGCCAGTGTCTCCTGCAGAGCCTGGGGAATGAAGCGCTGGGGGTGGGAACAGAGCTGACACCTGACGGCTAGGCTCATGAGAGGAGGCTGGAGTGCTGCTTGCTCTGCCTGGTTCCTGGGACAGAGGCCATGTTTGACAAGTGGAAGCACTCTTTCTTGTTTTAATCTTGGCAGTTACGGACTCAATTGCAAATGAATTCCCTTAACGTGGTGGTGCTAAGTCTTGCTCCTTGGGAGACCAGGGATTGAAGGAAACAGGACTAAGGTCTGCTGGTGTGCAGAGTCCTGACAGTCCTGGCAGAGAGTTCATCTCCCAGCCTTCTCATCCCTTCTCCCAGTCCCCCCTCTGGCTTTGGGTTTTGGGGAACCAGTTGGAGTACCCACGGTGTGCTCTAATCTGGGGACTCCCGTCTCTCCTCCTCAAGTAATCAATCCTGATTGCATCTTCCCTGAGCTTCTTTCTTAATTCCAAAATTCCCTGAGTTACTTGATGCCTTTAAGAAACCATCTGTGACTCACCATTTATTGTCCCCGCAGCCATGTCTCCTTGGACACATCACCCCATGACCCATCATTTCCTAGTCCCCTGCTTTGTGTCTTACCTATAAGACAAGATTCTTCCTGCTCTCTGCATCCCCGCATCCTTCCCTTCTGCACCATAGGTGACCATCACCTTTGTGTGTGCCCATACACATATGTGTCCCATGAGGCTGGAAGCTCCTCCTCCTGCACCACCTGTGACTATCACCTTCATGTGTGCCCATAAGCACACATCCCATGAGGCTGGCTGCTCCTTCACCTGGTCCTTCAGGATGTCACCTGCAATGCTGCTTCTGACTCCCCTCAGGGCCATAGGCAATAGGTGTGGACCGAAAGGCATCTTGTCCCTGGGTCTACGCATCCTGTTTCCCAGCTTTTCCTATGGGGATCCAGGGAGCTCAGAGAGGAAGCCTGATGAGAGCATGACTGTGTATCAAGTGACTGTTGTTGAAAGATTTTTTTTTAAGCTGTTGTCTTGTCTTGGTAAGTGGAGGGCTGTGTGCCTGTTGGGGTCAGGGGTGGTTAATAAGTGACTTGAGGGGATTTCCAGGCAAACCGTGGGTCCTGCCTTCCTGCAAACACTCCTACCCATTATCAGCCCTCAGGCTTCCTCCTTAACCCAAAGGCCAGAGTATTCCATAGGTGGTAGTGATGATGTCAACCCAAAGGGCAGAGTATTCCATAGGTGGTAGTGATGATGTCAACCCGAAGGGCAGAGTATTCCATAGGTGGTAGTGATGATGTTGATGAGCTAGAAAGCTGTGGCCACATCTCGGGAGCTCCCACAACTGCTGACTTCAGTGTCATTTCTGGCGTTGGGGTCTGGACTTAATATCACCACACACACACACAGACACACACACACACACACACACACACACACACACACACCCTTGCAGGTCTGTCGGCAAAGGAAACGGGAACATGAATAAGAGGAGAGTGACAAGATGCCTTTGTTCTCTTGTTCTGCATGTGTTCTGACGTGGATAGGTGCTAGGGACATCTGAGGGACACCTGACAGTGACACCGTCAGGCCCCAGAGCAGCGAACAGTGCTGGGGGTGCTCCTGTGTAGGCTCCTTAAATCTCGGAGGGCTGCCCTTGTCTTGCAGCCCCGTGTCTTGCTCTTCCCTCTGAGAGTGTGCAACTCGACAGCTGTGGAGAGGTATGGGGTCAGCCATCACGCTACAACAACCATCAAGGTGAGAGAGGCTCAGGGTGCCACTGCCCCCCTCCCCAAGTTAACATTGGATACAGAGGGGCTTTCTGAAAATGTGCACTTGCGCATTGGCCTTGGTGGTGCTTAGCAACTGTGTGATGGAAATTGAGCCTGTAAGGCAATGAAGTCTGGTGTCTATTTGGGGGGAGGTAGGAAGAAATAGGTGCATATCCTGACGAAGCCTTAGAAATGGTTGCTCTTTTGAAAATACCTGGAGAAGAAGAGAGGAATCGTGGCCTGTGTGTTCCTGCCAAGACGAGGGCCAGGTGTGTTTCTGGGCAACTCCTGAGGCTACCTCACAGCCCAGTGCCTTGCCCTGTTGTTTTTGTAATCTTACGGGATTAGAGTGCCGCTCTGCCTACTTCCTTTCAGAGAGCTGTGGCATCACTGCCTCCTGGCCCCCAAGGCTCCTGTGGAGTGTCAGCAGGAGGACACCTGTTGTAACTGGTGAACAACCTGACACCCTGGGAGGACATGCCCTTTCCTCCGCTCCATCCATCACATGTGTTGCAGGGGCGGGAGAGCGGGGGCTGCCACTCAGATGACAACTTCCACCAGGCAGGCGGTTGAGAGGGGAAAGCTGGGAGCTGGAGCAGGCATCCTTAGTGCAGGGGTGAGCTCAGCCAGGGGCTAGTGTCATCCCAGGGATTTGGAGATGGAACTTCCCCATGGGATCCAACTGTGAGTCACTGCGGTTGGTGTCCCTGCATCGAACTTCTTCTCTAGGCCTCCCACTCTCCCCTGGGACATCATGGTCACAGGTCAGGGCTAGTGACTCATGGGTACCTGAGCCAGCTCCAGGGGTGGAGTCTTAGTGTCTCACCTCCTGGCATGCGGACCCTCGGTGTGATGGCCACAGTTAGGCTGGCTGCCGTCTCAGAAGCTGTGTGCAAGATGGGTGGAGCAGCGGAAGGGCCTATCACCCTGGGGAGGTCAAGCAGAAGCTACAGCAGTGGCAGAAGCTTTTCAAAAGGCTGTGTGGGAAGTCTGTGAGGCAGCCAGCTGTAGCCAGTGGGGTGAGTTTGGCAGGGACACCTGAGAGATGAGGAAGTAACTCAAAGCCTTGGAGTACAGTGCTGGGCGCTGAGAAGGTAGACCAAGCAGAGTTTATGCAAAAAGTCCAAGCAAGGCTGCGCTGGCAAGACAGCGCGATGGCCCGGTGCACAGACCGGCTATCACCTCCCAGGCTTGAGTTTCAGCTCCGAGCGAACAAATCATTTAATTTGTTCTTATTGTTAGCCCACGGCTGTCCCACCTAAGGGTGACACATCTGTCCCACAAAGCAGACTGTGCAAGGCGGAGGTGGTTGTAGGGTCAGAAAAAAAACGGATCCCCAAACATGGAGGATATGTGGTGGCATTTTAAAAATGCCCGTCTTGTATTTTTATGTCCTCCTTAGTGTCTGGTATTGGAGCAAAACAGGGAGAAAGACTATGAAGTTAGGTGACTAGGGAGAATGGAGGATCTGGTAGGATTTGGAGGAAGGGCAAAATCATGGTTAAAATACATTGCATGAAAAAATTAAACAAAAAAAAATCCATAGGAACATGTGGAAAGGATTGTCCGAGAAAGCATGCATCTTCCTCTCCTCGGGAGGCCTTTATTTAAGTTTCTCTCAAGAAGTTTATACCAGAGTGACCTCGTGAAGCCAAATACCTGACACTTTGACTTCCGGGGTCACCCGAAACACAGTAAGTAGGCAGGCTGCTCGGGTGTGGGACTCAGTTTACTTAATGCCCGTCTGCCTTTTTCAAGAGTGATGAAACTGACCTACGTACTGCATGGTTGGATCCTTTGGCTCCTAAATGCTAAGTGCTGGACCTTTATATTCTTTATCTTCTGTATGTGTTGTGTGTGCACGGGGGTAGACATGTTCAAATACGGATATAGAGGTCGCAGATGGACCTTGGGGGTTGGACCTCAGGTGCCTTCCAGCTTTTGATTTTTGTGTGTGTATATATATATATATGCACATTTTTATATCTTTTGGGGGACATCATATGCATGGAAGTCAGAGGACAGCTTGTGGGGGTTGATTCTCTCATACCACGTGGGTCCTGGAGGCTGAGCACATCATTAGGTTTGGTCATAAGCACCTTTATCAACCCACTGAGCCATCTCGCCATTGCCCCTTTTCCATTTTATTTATCTTTCACTGTTTTGCTTGAAAGTTAGCCTTCCATTGGCCATAGCTCAGACTAGCTGACCCGTGAGCTCCAGTTCCTCTGCTCTCCACTTCTCATCTCACTGACTCTGGGATTGCAGACTCCCATGCCATGCCTGGATTTTTACAGGGATGCTGGGGACCCAAACTCAGGTCCTCCCATTTGAAAAGCAAGCATGTGATCCACTGAGCTGTGCCTCGAGCCCCCATTTCTTTCATTATTTCAAGTGG